CTTCCTCCAGCACAATGAGTAACCCCTCCCAAATACCATGCCCTCCCTCCCCGTTTCATGGCAGCCGAAAGCAACAGCAAAGCAGAGGCTGACACTGAGCTTGTCAATCAGAAAGGTCGACAGTTCAAATCCCTAGCGCTGCGTAACGGAGTGAGCTCCTGTTAACTTGTCCCAGCTTCTGCCAACCGAGCAGTTCAAAAGCACGTAAAAAAATGCAAGTAGAAAAATAGGAAACAAGGGAACAGCGTTCCATGCGGCTTCGGGAGTTGAGTCATGCCAGCCACATGACCACGGAGACGTCTTCGGACAGCGCTGGCTCTTCGGCTTTGGAACGGAGATGAGCCCCCTAGAATCGGGAACGACTGGCACAGACGTGCAAGGGGAACCTTTTTTACCTAATAAAAGAAAAGGTTTTAAGTCCATAATTCAATGTCTTTTAAAATGTTGCATTTGATAACATTCCCAAGTTGGCAGAAGGTGATAGTTTTTTGTTTTTAAGAGAGAGGGGGGAAAAAAGGAATCCAGCAAGTGGCATCTTTGGGCGTTGAAATCCGCTTCCGTGCTTTGCTTTTTCAGGGCTGCCTGGATTGACAAATGCCGCCCAGACCTTCTGATTTCTGAGTCCACCTACGCCACCACCATCAGGGACTCCAAACGCTGCAGAGAGAGAGATTTCTTGAAGAAGGTGCACGAGACCATCGAACGCGGGGGGAAGGTAGGTGATGCCACTGGATTGCGCCAAAGACTGAACCGTCCGCAAGGGGGAATGCTCCATTGTGGGCAGAGCACCCGAGGCTGGCTCGCTGGGGGATGTGGGGGCCCGCTAGCCTCGCCACGCAACAGTTTGGAGAAGAGAGAGAAACGGAACAAGGAACCAGCAGCATCAGAGGACGACTGAGATGGTGGCATCAGGCAGGAACTGGGGCGGGGGGGTGGGATTCACAACTGCTTTTGCTGCCTCTGGGCACTGGGGAGGGCTGAGGGGTTGGCACGCTGGCATAGGGCAGACCAAACCTAACATCTTTGTCTCACTTTGCCTCTCCTCCACTCTCAGCGGGGATGATGGTGGACTGCAGTTTTCCACCTGAAATTNAGTCGCCGTAACTCTGACTGGTCGTTCAACGAAGGGTTGTAAGTCAAGAACTAACTGTCTATGAATCAGTGCTTTTTTCCTGAGTCTCATTCAGTGTCAAATACATCGGTTGGTTTTAAGTCTGGGTTAGCTTGGCAGGCAGGGAGCTAGATCCAAGGGATCCACCCTCCTCCCCGCTCCAGTTAGCCCCAATTAAAACCAGTGAAGCTTTGCTGGGTGTGTTTGTGTGTTTGTGTGTCCGTCCCAAGGCAACCACCACTTTGCCCAGGACAGAGTCCATGGGTGCTAATCATTTAAGATTCAAGGCCAGGATGGTTTTAAAACAGGGGGAAGATCCCGATGTGATCCTGGCCTGATCCCAGCCGATCCATGGACCCTGCGGGATTAATCCGGATGGGGGGATTTTCCATTCGCCGCCTCCTGTCCTTTTCCAATTAATGTTTAAAAAAGGAAACCAGAAATACTGCAAATTCCAAATTCCACCCGAGACCTGGTTCTGCTCGGAACAATCAGCGGGCAACTACAATAACAATAAACCTATCATTTGGGCTTAACTGTACCGGAGTCTCCAATACTAAATTGTTCATAAGGGGGGAGGGGGGGAAGCATGCCAAGAACTCAAAATTCCTGGCTTGTTTCGAATCCAGAAACTTCCGTCTAGTTGTGCGGGAGCTTCATCGCTTGAGACTCTTGGCCAAGTACGCGGATTTGATTGCGTGAGTGCTGGGATGCTACCACAGTCGTAAGCGTGAGGAACCGTTAAGTGCAAGCCGCTTTTTTAAAATCAGCCTCGTGAAACTTCGCCCGCTAAAGGGATGGTGGTAAGCTTGCCTCCTTCAGCACCGCTTGTGGGGGCTTCATCCCTGGAAGCTTTCAAGAAGAGACTGGACTGCCATTTTTCAAAAATGGTGCAGGGTCTCCTGCTTGGGAGGGGGGTTGGACTAGATGACCTCCAAAGATCCCTTCCAACTCTTGTTGATCTTTTAAATCTGGGCTGAAGCCTGTTAAATTTGGGCTAAAGCGTTCAAGAAGAGACTGGACGGCCATTTTTCAGAAATGGTGCAGGGTCTCCTGCTTGGGCAGTGGGGTTGGACTAGATGATCTTTAAGGTCCCTTCCCACTGTTAATCTAGGATTGAGGGATGGGGCAGAAGGAAGCCTATTATTATTGTTATTATTATCATTATCATTATTATAACCATCTTGTAATCACTGTGTTTATTATTCAGTGTTGGGTGGGCAACTTCCAGATACAGATTAACAAGAGTTGAAAGGGACCTTGGAGGTCATCTAGTCCAGTGTTTTTCAACCTTGGCAACTTGAAGATGTCCGGACTTCAACTCCCAGAATTCCCCAGCCAGCGAATGCTGGCTGGGGAATTCTGNTCCCTCCCTCCCTCCCTTCCTTCCTTCCTTCCTTCCTTCCTTCCTTCCTTCCTTCCTTCCTTTCTTTCTTTCTTTCCCTGCCTACAGGTCCTGATCCCAGTCTTTGCTCTGGGCCGGGCTCAAGAACTCTGCATTTTGCTGGAAACCTTCTGGTAAGCAGCAGTCCTTGGTCCTTTGCCTTAAAATCCTTATTCTCCCCTTGCTGAAAGCAAACCCATGCTGCTTGGGGGAACCTTTCCTCCCAAGCGCCGTGATCGGCTGGTAGCAAGGCTCTCAAACCTTGGCAGCCTGTGAATTCCCAGAATTCCTCAGCCAGCCACGCTTTAAACCCTCCCCTCTTTTATCCCATTTCAAGCTGAGTTCAGGGGCGAACCGGCTGGGCTTGCAACTTCACCAGTGGCTCAGAAAATGGGATGGGAGTCGGGCCAAGCAAGGAAACGGAGGCAGAGTTCTCTCGTTTGCCCTGCCTTGAAGTGCGAGGGTCACACTCTTGGTTCCCCCCCCCACTCTTTTTCCCACCCGAGGGAGCGCATGAATTTGAAGGCACCCATCTACTTCTCCACGGGGCTGACGGAGAAGGCAAACCACTACTACAAGCTCTTCATCACGTGGACCAATCAGAAGATCCGGAAAACCTTCGTCCAGAGGAACATGTTTGAGTTCAAGCACATCAAACCTTTTGAGAGGACCTATGTTGACAATCCTGGGCCCATGGTAGGAAAGCAGAGGGGTGGGGGTGGGGGGGTGCTTCAAACCACGGCATGCTTGTGTAAAAGGGATGGGCCGGAATGGGGCAATTTGCCGCAAACAACTCACCATGGCTGACTCACCATAAAGGGACATGGTGTCACTCAGTGGCTAAGATGCCCAGCTTGTCGATCAGAGAGGTCGGCAGTTCAGCGGTTCGAATCCCTAGCGCCATGTAACGGAGGGAGCTCCCGTGACTTGTCCCAGCTTCTGCCAACCTAGCAGTTCGAAAGCATCTAAAAATGCAAGTAGAAAAATAGGCACCACCTTCGGTGGGAAAGTAACAGTGTTCCGTGCACCTTCGGGAGTTGAGTCCTGCCAGCCACATGACCCCGGAGACGTCTTTGGTCAGCACTGGCTCTTCGGCTTTGAAAAGGAGATGAGCACCGCCCCCTAGAGTCGGGAACAACTAGCACATACGGGCGAGGGGAACCTTTACCTTTTAACTCACTGCACCCAGTTTTCCACATTTTCCCTGGCCAATTTGCCACGGGGACAACTTGCCACAGAACAATTCAACAATTCAAAATAATTTTTAAAGCATTTTCATTTTTTTTAAAATTCACGTTTCATTTTGTTCCTCCTTTGGCATCCCTTAATTATTATGTCCCACCATTTCTTTGCTATTAATGTAACTCTTGTTCCGTGGCAAATTGTCCCAAAGGCAAATTGGCGGTGGTGAGTTGTTCTGCACTTGGGTGGGCAAGAAGGGAGGAACCATGATGGATCCTGATTTAGTCTTGGATAAGTTGATGTAAACTCTTCCCTTCACTCCTCCACCCCCCCTTCCAACTAGGTGGTGTTTGCTACACCAGGGATGCTGCACGCGGGCCAGTCGCTCCATATCTTCAAGAAATGGGCAGGCAACGAGAAAAACATGGTAGGAGAAAGGCGTCAAGTCCACCATTAAGAAACGAATTGCGCAACGAATTGTTGAGGTTGTCTGTTAATATTTGCTTGCGGTTTTTAGGCCTTCGTATCCGAAAGGCTAAAAGTATCATTTGAACTGCCTGGGTCCTTGGGTTGTTTAAAAACAGGCTGTCAATCAGATCCGTCTGTAAGATGCGTAAATTCAAATCTGGAAAGGACTGATGCAGCAGGATTCATTAACTTCTTTATATAAATAAAAATAGGTGAATCAATGTACAATACCAACAGGTGGTTCTCCCAAGTAAACACAAGGCAGGAGAGTTAACAGGCAAACACAAGGAGTTGGTTTCATTTCAGAAGACAAGCCCAGATAGACTGCTAGTTTACTTCTCGGAGCAGCAGACTGCTTAAGTTTCTGTTTCAATTCTCTGCACAGACTCAGTGTCAGCGTTCCAAATATCATGCAGAATTAAATCAGAGCCCAAGGCAGAGCTATCCTTAAAGATCCAATTTAATAAGACAGACACGTTGGCACATCTGTGGAAATCCCAAATCTGAAAACTTCCTGGGATTCCGCCCAGTTGAAAGTTCATGATCTTATCCCCACACCCAGAAATCCATCACATGGTCCAATCTTCTTCGGCCATGCTGGCATCTCCACCCAGCTGGTTTCCGGTCAGGTGCAGAGGTGTAGAGACCAAAGATGCCCTTGAGCTTCTAGAAAGGAATGACGACCAACATATTCCACAATTCTACTCCTTTCTATTCCCCCCTCCCAATTACTACACTAATGAAACAGCAGAGGAAAATAATAGAAAGTGTGGCAGGCCAAAAATCCTAAAAGGAATATAACTGCAGGCCTGACACTCAAGAGCAGCAGACTGCTGAAGTTTCTGTTTCAATTCTCTGCACAGATTCAGATCTGTTTAAGCTTCCATTGGCTGACTTAGCTGTTATGCCTCTTCAACTTATCTCTATATCCATTCATCAATCCCTATCTATCTATCTATCTATCTATCTATCTATCTATCTATCTATCT